TAAATATGATTTCAATATCTAATAGAATTAAGCTTTGTCGGTTATTTCGTTCTGTTCTTAAAATATCTCTTAAGTTTTGCCTTAATTCTGCAACTGTTATGTCCCTGTTACCCGATACTCCGCGAATGTGAAGTTCGTACAGTAACTCGTCTTTTAAAAGTCTGTTGACTTCCATTCTAATCTAGGATCTAAACCTACCTAAAATATATATTTAAACTGTTTCCGAATTAACGATTAAACTCAAAAAAAAAATTCCTAATATCTATGTCGGTGTTACTGAGTAAACTCCTTAAACTCCCCACTCTTACCAAAAGAAAAAAGAATTTTAGTATTTCTTTTATATATAGCAATATCTTAAAATCCTAATACCGTAAACGCAAAAACCCTTGAAAATAAAAAGTAATGCGTAAACTACAACCTATAAATAAAAACTATACTCAATTTCTTTAAAGTATCGATATCCCAATATTATTTTCTTTGAAAACGAAAAAAAAATTAAAGAATTTTATTATCAGAGTGTAAATATCGTTAATGCCTTAAATACTAAAACCAACGAAAATAAATTTATAAATGCGTTACCTTAGTTGCTTTGAACACAAAACAACTTTGAAAATAAAATAATATCCACTAATTTTTATTTAATTGCTCTTAACACCAATAGTAAGAGACCATAACTTTAGCTAACCTTCAGATAAGCACAAGGCCATCCAATGACTGTAATAATTTTTGATTCTGTGCAATAGTTCGACTTTTTGACAATTGACAGATGACAATATAAAATTTAACCAAAGAAAGATCGAAGTTCAAAGTCAAAACAAGAAAAAAATATATGCGTTTTAGCCAATTTACCAGACAAAAGAAGAAATTAAAATACCTCAGAAACAAGGAATATCACTCCAAAATGTAACTAACTTGTGCTGTTTAATTATTACTAACAAATATCCGTATTTAAAGTAAACAAACACCTGGTTCCAACAGGTTGTTTTCAAAAGTGAATCACAATCTCATACTTTATGAAGATTTTTAGTAGATTTTCAAACTGTCTACATGTAAAATAGCAATCAAACTCTACAAAGAACACTGAACTGAACTTAGATTATATTGGAATATAAACAATCTCTGTAAAATAAGTCATCAAATTTTATTATTTTGAAAATTAATTTGAAACTTCAAGTATATTTAGACTATCATATTAATAGTATCTTCACAATAACACGTTGAGCGCCACTTTTGCTACCGCCCCTTTATCTGGGGGGTGCTTGTTACTAATGAAATTACCCCTTTGCTTAAACAATGAAGACAAATAATAGCTCAAGTAGTTTTATGAACTACCGGAGAGTGGGTGAGGGTTATATGATTTAAACTATACTTGTGTTACCCATATAATTTAATTTCAGTCCAGGATGATCAGTACAGGTTAGTTTCCAGTTGGTAATTTGAGCAATAATAACAAAAACAGGGGCTAAACCTATCAAGTTGCCCTGCAACGTCCAATTAGTACTAATTGTTTACAGTGAAGTGAATGTAAGTATATGAAATTACAGGTAGATACTATTACTGAGGGTAATATATCTACAGATATTCGTTTACCATTACTAGAGGTAATATTTACTATTAATGTCTTTTCTTTAAGGTATTTGGTCACTACACAAGGTAAAGATATTGTCCAGGCAGGGGATAATAGGCTGAGGTTCCAGCTCAGCTTATCAGCCTTAGAAGAATAAGGAAAGTTCTTACTTGTCTCTAGCAGATCCAAGTTGTATGGGGTGGTCTCGCTTTAGGTACACAAGTAGACAGCAGTCTGGATGTAGCATCCATAAATACATATGCCTAGGAGCTAATAAGCATGCAGCAAGTATCCAGCAAGTAGCTTTTAATGGAGACAGGCAGTAAGACTGAAGTCCAGAGCAAAAGCAGGTAAGCGGTCAGCGTTAATAATTAAAGGTTCTAATTTAGCTAATGTAAGCACTTTATAGGTCTAAACCTAATACTAAAAGGCCTAAAAGGAAATGCAATATAAGTAATACAGATGAAGCAAAAGGTATAGCTAAATATGGACTTACCGAATATAAGGTAGGGCCGTGCTAGGTACTACTTTATTCACAAAAGTGCTGTCGATTAGACAATGTAGTTTCCTAGTGATAGTTGTAAGTAATTCTCTAATATATGGCTTTAATTCCGAATAAAATTCGTTAAATTTGAACAGGCACCACATGGACCAACAAATTCATGCCATCAAAGAAAGAGCCAGAAAGGAAGGAAGTTCCTTGATTTAATGGCCGACCAATATAGCCAACTATGGAAATTTTAGGGGAAAATTGCATTTGTTCAAATAATAAATTATAACCTTGCCATAGATCATTTAAGAAATGAAATAGGTCCTAGTTACACTAGAAGAAGAAAGGTCAAGGTTGACAGATGATTGTCAGAATGAAATGTTTACATTTTCTGTAGGTTAACCAAACTTTCAACTATTAAATTATCAACTTCTAAATCTGTTTTATTTTCAAAATGGTAAGTTTCATCCAACTTTATATAACTTGTGAAAATCTATATCATTTAATCGATTTGTATATTTATTTTCTCCTATTTAAATTAAAACCGTAACAGTATTTTGTGAAATATATGTTTTTCTTCTTTTAAATAAATTTAATAAACAATGAACTGCAGATTTTGTATATTTTATTTTGAAATTATATTTAAAAAAATATAATAAATCCGCGTGTTTCAATTAGGATTGGTCAAAGTGGGCGAAATCCCTTTATTATAGCTAAATTGTAAGTTACAATTATGTCAATATAAAGATGTGTTGCCCATTCATATTTACACATAGTCTAATGGACGTCCACTTTAGATCTATTTGAGGGTCAGGACGTCCATATCTGGGCATCCAGTGTACGTCCGTTTATGCTAATTAAATTGACAGCTGTATATCGATACCCAGAGAACGTCTGTTTTTGGACTTAATTGTAAGTTTAGTAGTATTTTGACGTCCAGTGGACGTCCATCTTAGGTCATTATTTATTAAGCCTACCAGATAATACCCATCTATATATACTTATTTTTTTTTAATATAACTGGTCATTAAAAATTGACAAATTGAATCTATTGCATTTCATTATATCAGCGTTAGTTTGAAATCTTATTCAATTATAACTGTATCTAGTAAAAAGTGGTTCCTTGGTCGAGCTCGTCTAGCGATTGAAAGCGTAAAACGATAATGGATGTGTCGTGAGTTCGGTGCCTGCTCACGTCAAGCATTTTTAATGAAAAAATAAATAAATGGTGTATAGTGGTTTGCGAAAATAATAAACAAGTTATTAATAATATAAAATAGTGTGTGGTGAGTTGCAGTTCTGTAAAAAAAGTGAGGATGTGGTCTCAATGGAAATATAATCCTGGACGGTTTTTGAATGTCCAGTATTCGACGTCCAAATATATTCCAGAATTGTACCTCCTCTGAATGCTCAAAGGTGTGCCATTTGTATACTTCACTGGATGTCTATTGGATGTCGGAAGTCCAGAAAAAACTCATTTTTGGAGGTCTAGACATCCAAAATTGTATTTCGAATGGACGTCCAATGGACATATTTGTATTGTCTGGGTGATAGCCAGGCCAGGTATTTAACTCTAAATACATAAACCTTAAATGACATCTGGCTTAACTTGGAGAGAAAACACTTGTTTCTACAGAAATGAGTGATAAACTTGAAAGTCCTTTTAATATAAATCTAGTAATTCTAAAAATATGTAAGTACTTTTTAAACCTAAAAGCTTTGAAAATATATGTACATTGCAAATATTTAGTTAAATCTCTCAAACTTAATGTCTTTGTAATTGTTACCTAAATTTTTTTTGGCACCCTTAATTTTATTTTCCTTATTTTTACTTAAGGAAAAGGTAATTTAATTTAATTTAAATATGGGGCTTTTATTACATTTTTAACAATAAAAAAACCAAATATTGAACAAATTTTATAGATAAATTATAAAATAATAAACGTCTTTTACTTTTATAACAAATAATTAATTATTACATAATTAATTATATTTTGGTGCCGAAATTTCACCATTGCTAATAACCCTAACTACTTCAATGTAATTAAATCACATTACAACATGTGCGCATGGACTATAACAATAATTTCAGATAATTTGCTAAACTATTTCGCTCAGTGTAGAAAATAAGCATGTTTTCTCAGCGTGCTAAGTTGTGTATTAATCAAAGTCATGCTGTGAAAAAGGTACATCCGATATCAAAGGCACCGACAGCTACTGTCGCTTCTCCTTGATCGGTATTCTCGGGTATTATCAAATATTATGAGACTATTTTTAGTGATGGTACTGTTAGCAAAATAAAAAGGGGAAAGCTGAAATTAAAGGATGAGGTAATACCATGTACATTTCCAAATCTCCCTTTATATTTGTATTACAACAATAAAAAATCTGTTAACTGTGTTTTATTTTGCTCTTAAAACTATATATAGGTTCAATTAATAAAATAAAAAAAAAATTTGCCACAAAATTATACAGCATTTAACAAACTTTTTCGAATTTAGTCATACCTACCTCATTTGTATTTTATAAAAGATAAAATTAAATAATTTATCAATTAAAACATGCGAAACTTATTAAGAAATAAATACAACAGTATGTTCTGTGCTTTATTTAGCTATAAACAAGTTTATTTTTATTATTTTGACAAAATTATATATAATTCCCATAGAAGCCATGTATATTGAACACCGTATGCAGTAATAGCGCCCGTGCGGTTAATTATAAAAGCTCAATTAGCGTGCGTTTTTTGGGACCGTATTTTGAGTATGCCGATTCGCCCCCTTATCTCTAGTCTTCATATCTCAAATAAAACTGACTAAGAAGCCTTAAACTAAAATGACGTAAAATTCCAAACTAAAGGTAAGACTATGTCGTGCTATGATGTCGCCACAGTATATTAAAAAGAAATATCCTGCCTTACCCTTGGATGATGAACCAACCTACCTGCTTGATCAATTCCCTGTAATTACTATCATCGAAAGGTAACCTTCCGTATACCATGGCAAACAGTACGACTCCCATTGACCATATATCGGCATACTGAGGTTGGTAAGGGATTCCCCGTAGAATCTCCGGTGACGCATACGCATAGCTTCCGCAATAGGTTTCGCTGAGGACATTTTGGCCATTTTTGCCTTTAAGATTACCCCTGGCGAATCCAAAATCTGATAATTTTAAATTCCAACCGTGGTCCATTAACATATTTTCGCATTTGATGTCTCTGAAATGAAAAATCTCAATAAATGAAATGCATGCATTTCTCCGGAGATCATTAAACTTTTTTGATGAGTTATTTAATCTATAAAATTACCTGTGGACTACTCCTCTCTCGTGGCAATAATCTACAGCGTCCACCAACTGTCTGAACCATTTTCTAGCTCGTGGTTCATCGATATACCCATCTTTTCTTATAATGTCTAAGAGACTTCCGTTTTCTGCATACTCCATAACTATATACACCCTATGAGTAGTTTCTATAGCTTGTAAAAATCGAATCAAATTCGGATGACGAAGACCTTTAACTACTTCGATTTCTCTGTAAATATCAAAACGAAAGTAAATTATTAATTACATCTAGGTACATTAGGATTATAAAAAAAATTGGAATCCGTGACTTTATCAATTAGAATTGATCTGTCAGTCCAGGTAACTCCGCTTTGGTAATTATCCTAGAGCAGGGATAACCACAAGTGGTTGATACCGACCCCTTGGGGTCTAAATCGGTTTCACAGGGGTCGATATAAAAGAAAACTATTTTGTTATAATAATGACTAATATTTTAGTAGAAAATATCATTGTTGTACTTTTAAGAAACTCAACAATACGCACAATTTCGTACAAGATGAAAAACGCAGCAAGTCAATAAGCATGGACAAGTTCGTACAAGATAATGAGTTCGAACATACAAGTCTTTTAGGCACGTTTTGACTTGCTGTGTATTTGGCGCATACATGCGATTTAACACGAACGAAATCATGATCAAGTTCAAGTCCAAACACGCTCCTGACATTTTACTATATAACATGCTTGCACTTAGGTTGAAAGTTCATTTGCGTTTTGAAATTCGTTGGAGCTTGAATAATAATACACTCATCTACTAATTTATTTCAAGACATTACCTACTTAAATAAAGTGAATTAAAATAAAGTGATTGGAGTCAATGTAAAATGAAGTGAAAAGAATCAAAATGATGTGAAAAAAACTACCTGAGTACAAGTAACATGTAACTGTAAAACAGGATAAAAATCAAATGTAAAACTAAAGAAAACACAAGAAGAAATCAATTCAATTTCTTTTTAAAGCTTTTAATGTAAGTAAAATAATGTATCCATGTCTAAATATAATATTTATTTTAAACTAGTCACAATATGTATCTTACGAAGTGTAGTTTATTTTATTATAAGTTTCTATAATATAAAATTTTACAGTTGTAGATGCTGACTTACAAACAACAATAATTATGCATTAAATTTAACTTACTAGAAAAGAAAATTTATTTTTTATAGAGTTTTAATTTTAGGTAAAAAGTTGCTACTGTTATTTTTTTTGGGCCCCAATTGTGTCATTGTAAATGTTTTTTTTTAGGATACTAAACGTTTAGAACAGTGGCAGCATATTTATTCTTCCTAGTGCCGATAATGCACTTTCTAGAGATGATGCTGTTTTATACTTTTTAGAAGATATTAGTAAATATTATGAGAATATTTTAACTGATGGTACTGTTAGCAAAATAAAAAGGGGAAAGCTGAAATTAAAGGATGAGGTAATACCATTTACCTACATTCCCTAATCTCCCTTTATACTTGTATTAAAACAATAAAAAATCTGTTAACTGTGTTTAATTTTATAATAGGGGAGCCCAAGCGGGGATTTCGGGATTTACTAAAGCGCGGCAGATTAATATACAAGGGGATACCTTGTACCCGGTTAAGTACCTCCACCAAATATCAGCTCTATATATAAGGCCGCCCGTAAAGGATAAAGGATCAGATTAGTAAAAAAAAAATTGATCATCAGAAATTCTCGAGCGCGTCAGATTAAGGTAGGGTGAGTAATTACATGCTAAAAAGTGTATATTCCACTAATCTGACAATTTGAGAGTGAAGTAAAGAAAGGGGAGGGCAGAAAAGTTGTAAAAAAGACGTCATCTCGACATTCTCGAGCGTAGCTAATTTTTTTTTATTTTGAAGGAAATAATTTAAGGATAACGAAAAATATTTAATCTGACGATTTCCGCAAACCGAAATAACAAAAATTCCTCGATAAAGTTTAATGCGTGTAGCTGCGTAATGCCTACATTTCCCTCTCCGCGTTTCTACTATTACTATCAGATCATCTGATACTGACATAGTGGTCATTATGTTAGCGAATATGGAACACCTGCATGCAGGAGTAGAAGTTTGGATGGATCTTGGAGTTGGCAATGCATGCCGATACATCGACGGATCCGCCCTCTACAAAAAATTAGGCCCAAAAATTTCGGAGGCGCTTCCAGCTTTGCATGCTTCCACTGATTGCGATTTCAACCCAGCATTGTACCGACGAGGGAAAAAACCTTTGCAATTTTCCAAGAAGCATTTCTGGATTTGGGATCAAAAGAGCATAATGTGCAGGATCCTTTTAACATCATACAGTCTTTTACTTGCCACTTGTATGGGTTGAAAACATTAGACGATGTCAATCAAGCCAGGATTGTCATTTTCAACAAGACGTACAATGTAAGTACAAATCACAACCCTTCTCCTTGAGTGTCCGGAATTACGATACGTGCAACTTGCCACCCTGTGAATCGGAGTTACTCCAGCAAGTGTTACGCACAAGATGCATTGTATGCTTGTGGAGTAATGCCCATAATGCAAAAATTATTGATCTTTTACTAACGGACTATGGATGGAAAGTTGTCGACGGAAAATTCAAAATGATCAATTGCTGAAAGCATACGAAGATGTAGTCATGACACCTCATATTCTTGAGGATACTCCAAAATCAGGTATTTCTTTTCTCTAGTAATTAAAAAAACAAGTTATGCATAAAAAAATATTGTTAAACATTTTAATGATGAAATCGAGCCAGAAGGGGAAGATGATTCTACTGATGAAGATGATGATTAATTAATCAATTAATTATAATAAAATAAATTTTTTGAGCATTTTTTTTTAAATTATTTTCTTGTATTTATAAACAAGTAGTATTCAACTTTTTTATTTGCATGTTATTTCCTGAGCTTTTTAATTAATTTAGTTCAATCATTGAAAAGCGAATCCCTCTAGATAATCGTCAGATTATGAGACAGCATATCTAGGACATAAAGATGAACTATATATATATATATATATATTAATCTGACGCGCTTGAGTATTTCAAAATGACGAATTTTTTTTTGCACATTATAATAATGGCCGCCAGTTAGCGTCACATCGAAATCGTCAGATTATTGAATGAGAGCTTTTTTTTGGTTCACTTAACACCACCTTAGAAAATCTAACGCGCTCTATTAATTTTTTTTTTCATTTTCAACCCTTACGTAAAACCACCCGCATCATGCAAAAGATCAGAATAACATAGGCACGTTATTAAAAATACGTAGAACATTGATGCTATCAATATCTGACGCGCTCGAGTATGTCTATGCAACAGTATTTTTTTAAATATTTAAAAATATGTAGCCGTTCCCCCACCGATGAAAAGGTATATATTATATGACATTTTTTTCTTCTTATTATTTAAGCTTTGCAACCCAATAGGTCTCTATGACACTCGAGTAAATCCCCATTTAGCATCGTGAGCTCTCCTATTATCGGGGTATCCCTGTGTATTAAAATTGTATGTGTAGACCAAAAGTTAAATCGACAGTTTTCCGAATATGTAGTGTTTAAAAATCTAATTTTTGGCCAAATTAAAAATAAAGGTCTAACTTAGGTCACCTTACTATTGAAAATTAATAAATTTATTATTTTCAATAAAAACCAATCATGTAAAATAACCCCCTTTTATTTCATCCCAAAGGTGCCGTCTAGAATTATTTTAACCTCGATGTCAAACAAATAATAAAAAAAAAATGTAATACGACCTAAGTTCAACCTTTACTTGGAATTTGGTACACTCAGAATATTTAAATATTGTATATTTTTCAAAACGTGTAGATTTGAAATTTATAAGTCACTTTCTTTGAAAAAACATGTCAAAACGAATTTGGACCAAAAATGGCGTCTAATTTAACTCTAAATAAACCCCGAAAAATCAATAATTACTTCATGTAATGTAATAAAGATGGTGCTCCGATCGATAATATTTTGACTAGTATTTGATTATTTCCGTTTATATTAAGTGTGTTTACGGGGGATATACGAGATGATAATACTGCCTCTGATACTGTTTATATGATACAATTGGAAATGACCTTTTTTCATCGGCACTCTTTTTTCTGACCTTTTGACACGCGCCTATTTGTTATATGATGTATGATTATCGGTTATTTATCAACTAAAAGTATAGGAAATTAGTACATTGTAAATGATAATATCATTTTAATGCTATTTTTGAAACTAGTTCAAAAGTTGCATTTAACGATACTCAATGTTTCATTTTACCGTCAGTTTTAGTTTGACATATCCGTCATTTTATGTTTACAAAGCTCAGTTTCTATTCGAAAGTAAGAGAAACAGTCAAAATAAAATGCGAAAAACACTTTTTATCAATTTCGTTTATGTCAACTGAAAGCGACAATTGCTGAAGACGTAACAAATAAATTAGGTTGAGAAATAAAAAAATCTATACTATAAGTAACATACCATATATTATACCTGTTAAAATAAATCAAAAATAAGAGAACATATCGTTGACGTATATACTTTTCCATCTGTGATTAGTGATTACCAATTGCAAATTACGTATGAACATGCTTCTGCGCAAAAAAAACCATTATTTCAAGTACTTGTATCATTAAAGTCCATTAAATTATAATTTTTATAAATTTGCTAATCTTTGCACTTTAAGTTTCATTATATGGGGTATCCAGACATTTTAATCCTCGTCCTCTTCTATATAAAATTATCTCAGGTGCCATATATTCCGAGTAAAATTTTTCTAATTTTTCAACCATATTTTAAAAAAAAATGGGTTGAAAATGAATTTTTTCAACAAATAGTGGATTTTCATCTCCAGTATATACTACAAAGTAGCACAATTTTCTTTGAGCTATACCTAGCTGTCCTTGAATCTAAAAGTATATAAAATCATTATTAGAAAATCAAACATAAAAAGAATATTAATATTGTAGTATCATTTCTAGCACATTTCTTAAAAATCATGAATTATTTTAACATATTGAAATTTTTCACCTGGTAAAAGTAGTTATGGTTTTCTTTTAAATGAATGTCACCATCTTCTATTTTTAAGCATGGAAATGGGTTTGAAAATTAGGTAATGTGCGCCAATAATGTCAAATTATGACAATTCGCAGATAACGTCAACTTTTTATTTAGATTTTAATGTGCAAAAGCCTACCTACTTTGGATATTGATCGTAGAAAAAATA